TACCCAACTGGATCCCACATGGTTTGCTCCTCAGAAGAAGGTGCAAAATTATAAACCATGGCACTCATAGTAAATCCATCTACAGAATACATATTAGCAGTTACCTGACTTCTTGTAAGCTGATTAGTGTTTGTTAAGGTACTAAGCTGTTCTATTATTTGTTATAATAGCCAATCCTATTTGCTTGCTCATTTGAAGTCAAATTCTGCCATGGAACAAAGATTAAATACATTGGCAGGCCAGATGCTGTTAGTTGCTACTCACATTCAAACTTCTTCTTGTTTTTCCAGGGCTGCCTATCAAGATACTTTGTCTTAGAATTTGAACAAAAGGGAAAAGAGCTGAAGTGGTAGATCAAAAATGTCTGAATCTGTAACAAAAGCCTTAGAAAAAAGCAAAGATAGACTCAAACCATACCACTGAAGCATGGTCACCTTTTACATTTACAAGAGGAATTTCAATAATACAAGGTACTTGTACAAACTGACATTGGAAATCATTGTTTGATTTATTTTTATTCATCTCTTATTACTATCGTATATACACATTTGTGTTTCGTGAACAAAAAACCAAACTATTTTTAATTCTTTCCTATTTTAGTAAAACGTGAGACTTCTTCCAGGGCAATATAGCCTAATAATGGGAAGACAGTTAATGAAGGAGAAGTAATTTTAAAAAGAAGTGGTCTGTAATGCCTGAAACAAATGCAGACCTCAATCTAGCAAAGCACTTAAACTCAGAAGTACTTCACTGAATCAGGGGTTTAGGATGATAATTTAAATTATTGCAATTTAGAGTAGTGTCATTCAGAACTAGTAAGTACCTACTTACAAAGGCAGTGATAAAATTAAGAACATTCAGTGGAAAATTTTATTAATAATTTCTTGGCTTTCTCATTGTAATACAAAGCAAATTTCAACTTGGGTCAATTCTTTAAAGATAACATGCTGCACACTTTAAATCTGAAAAAAAGACAGAAGCTCAAATTGTAATTTCAGCAGAGATACTGACAAGCTCTATAGCCTTGGGTGCATGAATTAATTTTTGTGATGTTCATTACTTATCTGTTCCATGGCTTTATATCACATAGGGAGAGTTTTAAAAATATAAACATACACACATATGCTCCCTAATTAATCAGCTAGATTATAAAACACTTTGAAAAGATAAGTGTAAGATATGATAAAGAGGATATGATCTACCAATTCAATGGAATGTTAAGGAGAAAGCTGCCTTTTTTCCCATTTTCTCTTCCTCTCCCACTTAATCTCCAGAGGTCTAGCTCAGACCAGAGCCATTGACAGTAATTGGTACCAGAATTTAAGAAATAGTTTATTGATGTCAATTATGTAAAATAAAAATCAAACAATCCCTCCCTATTTGTTTTACATATATCTGCAGAATTGATTCCTTCAGAGAAAGCATTATTTTGATGGACAGGAACTGCAGCTTTCCTTCATGCCCTTTAGAAATCTAATAGCCTGCAGCGTACATCCTTCTGGTGAACTGCTCCAAGAAACTTGCAATGTTCAGTTCTATATGGAGAACAGACTTCCCTGAAATCCTCAGTAAGTCACACAGAAAATAAAATTTACTGGGATGGGAAGGAAGTGGAAGGGGAAAAGGTAAAAGTCCAGTAACGTGAAAGTAGCTAGCAGCCAGGATTTTATCCCAAACATTCATGCTGTGCCAACAGGAAGACTATCCATTCCATTTATCAGAAAGAGTAACAGCTTCATAAAACAGCCACAACAGCAATGCTAACATTAAATCTGTTATGTTTCCAGTATCAAAGCAATTAGAAATGAAACATCACCTGCTCTTGCCCAAACCTAGCAGCCTCTCTCTGACCAATCAGTGTCCTGGGTTACAATATGGGGTGTAACCAAAGTACCTATTCCACCACCACCAACATTGCCTTCTGATGAGCTGTTTAAGGTGGGTGGAGCACTGTTTCTCTATCTTTGCCATGACTCAACCATGAAGCAGCAGCCACCTGAGGGGTCATTTCTGCTAATGGGCCATCAAGGATTGCACAGAATGATTCATAGAATCACATCAGCCCACTGTGAAATTCCCCACCCTAGGGCAGGTACTGAACACTCCTGCCACCGTATAACCTAGGGTTTAGGACACAACAACACGTACCACTGGATTCCCAAGAATCACAAGAACTCTCCACCACCACCACCACCACCACCACTGGACCTCCAGAGAAGGACCAGACCTTTCCACAGCCTCACTGCTTTGACAAGACCACATCCATCACTCCAAAGGGACTGCAACCACCATTTAATTGGACTGCTACCACCACACTGACCAACAGGGTATCAGGTCGTGTTCTGACTTTGTCAGTTTAAAACCAGTGTTTCTGTACTATTGCCTTTATTGTAATTTTCCTATTAAATTGTAGCTCTGACTTGAAATCTTTCACAAGCTATTTCTGTGGGGTTCATTCCTCCCACTGGTTTACCTTCCACTCAGCACAAGCAGATACTTAAAAAACTTTCCAGACTACACCAAATGGCTTCTACTCTGCTTAGCGTGTCTGTCTTCAGACATGAAACACACACAAACAGGCACACTGAACCTGCCCTCCCCCATCTCATATGATTTAGGAGGATAGCATAAGGTTGCTGCTCCCTCTGCTTCACAAATCAAATTTTCTTGGACAGGAAAAAATTGATGAATAAACCTGCAAAAATACTTCTGGTTACATATAAAGGATATATTAGCAAAGCAGGCATTCAATCTCATATAGAATTGCACGCTGTCAAGAGATGTTTCAATTATTTTTATACAAATATATAATACATAGTTCTCAGTATGTGGGGCTTTGGAATCCACAAGTCATCAACATTTTCCATCTAAAGTTCTTAGAGTTTTTTTCATTAAATTAGATCATAGTTTACCTAGAAGGCAAGTAACTATCCTTATTTTGCAATAAGAGCATTCAGAGGAGAACCCACACTACCTAATTTGGGACCTACATCTCAGCTGGTGGCTCTAGTGTTCATTCATAATCAAGAACAGTGGGAAATGGATTTGTAGAGAGTTCTCAGGGCTTGACAGAAGGCCCACACAGTGTGTATCTCTATGCAAACTTTGAGACAAGAAATGCTGATTTAGAAATGCCATGGGATAGGACAGATGTTGTTGAGAGAGAAATGGAAATAGAAAAATGTTTCAAAAGATGGCCTTGCACATAAGACTGGATACTTTGAAGAAATAGAACAGTGAAAGATGCATTGTAGTGGGACCCACGAGGGGTAGTTTTAGATGATTGGCTTTAAGGCATCTAGAGCATGGCATGGCAAAAAGCTGACAGGCCAAGGAACACTTACAGTGCATTGTAGTTAGGAAATAGTTGGCTTCTGATTGTGATGGTGTGAATTATAACATCTGTATTGTCTCACCCTTCTCATCAGACTGAAAATGGCATAAAAGTTTTTAAAATGCCTCTCAGTTGCCCCATCTCTGGGTCAGGAAAAGGGTATTGTCCAACAAAGAACTATGCCTATTCAATGTAAATCAAGGACTTTAAGGTGTAATTCATGTGGTCAAATGTAGACATAGTCTTCAGAAGACAATTACTGAAGCAGTATTAGGAGAAGGTGGATTTCACTGCATGTATGTCAGTGACTTGCTGGACAGCCTTTCTGCCATGTTCCCTTGTTTATGTTCCTGTTTTCTTTTTCATCTTCTGTAAGCTTTTTTCAGGTGGGCAGTTCCCTTGCTAAGCATTAGAATACATCCTACCATAACTCAGATCCTTTTTAGGGATCATTGTATATTAGCATATTGAAAACAACAAGTAGATAATAGTGCTGAGCAATCCTACTGCTTCAGCCAAAGAAAACAAACTTTCACAGCAAGGCAAGATTAGAATTTTTGATCTTTACCTCTACTCAAGCTCTCCATTATACTGAATTTAAAGAAAGATGTGTTACTTTTTTTAATGCTAGATGGCGTTAAATGCCTAGATCTGTAATATACCTAATTTTGGTCTGTTTCTGTTTTCTGCTTTCTGATTTTGGTCTTATGTAGACCAGAAAAAAATGTCCCTGAAGAACCTTGGAATAAACCTATGCATTGGGAAAAAAAAGCAAAAAAAAAAAAAAAAAAGCAATAAAGCAAAAAAGCAAAAAAACCTACATTACTGTATATTTACATATTTACAGCACTGTATATACAACAGAGAGACAGTAGAGAGAGTTAAACACTTCCAGAAGACAATTTAGAACTCATATTGACATGAATGACTTGGTAAGTAATTCTAGATCTAGTCACTTTGAAGATGACTACTTAATCTCCATCCTTTATGCTGGGAATATATAAAAGGACTACTCCATTAACAGCCTTCAGTCAGGTGATCTGCATCTCTCTCCTTTTCCTTTCAACAGGGATTAACTTCTCCCTGTGTTAACAAGGACTTGATGCCCTTCAGCAATGTCTTTATGTTTTTTTCTTCCCTCCTTTATTTTAAAAAAAATTATTATTTTTTTAAAATGTGCTAGCTAGAACAGACTATTCATTTGGATTATTTAGGCAACAGACATTTCTTTTTTCTTAAATCTTCAGACCTAAGGAACATTACATTGCTCAAGCTTATCATAAACACAGAGATTTGCTTTAAATTTCAACAATACATGAATTTGCCATGGAGGAGTGCTAATTAAAGGAAAAACAAGAATCATCTGTAAAATATTATATCATTCAGTTAGAAAGATGAAAGACATGTTACAGAATGTAAGGACTAGGGCAATAGGTTTTATTCATCAGCAGTAACCTAGAATTTTGCTTTTTGGGAGCACAAAAATATAGGTATATATTTCTGAAAATGCACTATGGTATTATGGCTGTCTTGGTGTTTTGAGCTCTTTTCAGAACAAACTTATTCCTTAGAACTGCAATAATAAAGGCAGCTATCATATTTCTACTTTACTCCAATGCTATATTAACCCTAATACTTTAGCTAACTATAGTGAAATAAAACTTACCTTAAAAATCAAATCCTTTTTCCCATAACGAAGCTCTTTCAGCTGGGCTTGGATCTTTTTTGACTGAAAGTGAGGATAATCAAATCAAGTTTGGTTTTTTTTTTTAATTTTAAACATTAAAAAAAACATTGTGAATTCTGAAAACAGCAGAATCTAGAACAGATTTAAAATGCAGAACACCCCCCTCCAAATAATTTCAATTGCTTTTCCAGGTTCACAAGTCAAACCAACCAAAAGCACGGAGGCAAATGCAAAATGGCACTCACCTAAAGCACATACCTGAGTTGGTACTGTAAAGAATAGCAGCTGGGCTTACACAATTTAGACATGAGCTGTTATTAATACTTTCCATGAAGCATAACTGAAGGAATCACCTTCAAAGTCGACAATCTTATTCTTAGAAGTAAAAAGGCTCCATAGGCTTATACAGGTCTTTGTAAAGACCAGAGCATTCCAGGTGGTATCCAAAGGAATATACAGGCATAGTTATGCTTATTTATATCAGTTTAAGATGATATTTACTTTATATATTGTGAAACATATCCTTAAAGTAATTCTAACTAGTAGTCTATATATTGTTAATTTAAACAAAATAAATAGCAATGGGTTTTTTGTACTAAACCCAACTATCCAAGGAACATTATTTCACCATTCATCTAAGAATCCTCTCAAAGCAGTATTTTTTTTTAAATAAAATCCACAGTCCCAACTGATACTCAATAAATTTTCTTGTATTAATTAATGCCAAGTGTTTTGAAGTCCTTGGAACAATCCTTGTCTGTTTCACATTTACTGAAAGAGCATTCCATAAACATATTATATTACAAAAGCAGTATATCTTTCTTAAACTGGAATTTTTGGAAAGATTTCATCTCTTTGCAATTGATGCAGTCAAATTCAGTGACAGACTTTTGGAAAGAATCTAAAAATTTAGAACCTGCTTTAAATGTTTAAATAGTAAGGTGAAAATAGTTATGGTATTCTGTAAAATCTGAAACTAATAGCCAAGATCAGTCCAGCAGAATTCTTTGTTCAGTGACTTTATCCACTGTTACTTCATTCAATAGCACTGTTCTCTGATCTGGGCAATGCAATTATGCAATTAATTGAGCTAAGGAATATATTCCACACCACCTAAAAACCAATGAGAAAATGTTCACCAATTTTAATTATTCCGAGGGCTGTGTTTAATAAAATGTACAATTTCTGTGATATACAAGGTATCCTAACAGGCTGTAGAGGAATCTGAGAGTTACAATTAAGGTATAACTCATTTGTTAAATATGAAGCCTGTGATGAGATTAAGAGTCATAAAGCTAAATGCATTCAGTGCAGGTCAAAAGCATGTGTATGACCTGTAACTCTTTGTGATAAAATTTGGTTATTTTGCAAATTTTCTGTGCTTCAAGGGAGAGGACCTCTTAGTAGAGTCAGACAGATAAAATTACCATTAAACACAGGTCTCTAAAGTATAGAGTCTGGTAGCATTGTCCTGGCATGTGTCCCTTTCTGTGTCCTGGAAACCTCAGCATTTGCACCACTCTGCCTTCCTCTTTCCAAGGCCCTGACTTCTTGGAGAAGAAAATCCAGCCATGCTAAAACTGTGCAGGATCACAAGCATGCTCCCACTGATGCAACAAGGAATCACTCACTATCTGTGTCTCTGTCTGCATGCAGCCTGAGGTAGCAAAACGAAGCAGGAGCTTCCTGGTAGGCAATTCTACCCACAGAAGGTATTGGATATAATAACTGAAAGGATACTGAGTTCACACACTTGTTATGCTTGGTGAGCATAGTACTTAACTAAAAACAGAAAACACACAGTGTTTCTCTGGCTGGCACAACTTAACTGGCAAAATGACTGCAAAAAAAGGATGCTCCAGTAGCATTTCTGCTTGTTCCAATGGTAACATGCTTAACAGCTGCAAATTTGCCAGGATGATTCATAAAGTAAGAGATTCTCACACTTTGAAATACACTCACAATCTGCTGTCTTGACTATTACTTAATTTATGTTTCATTTTCTGAAGATCTCTGACTTCCAGGGCTTGTTACACTGTAATAAAATTAAATTATCCTTAAGCTTCATCCTTAGATGCAAATATTAAAAGAGACATAATCAGAGAAAATATCTTCAAGTTAATTACCAAAGGTTCAAATATTATGAAGCCAGGTGTGGTGATTTGACCCTGTCTGGATGCGAGGTGCCCACCAATGCCACTCTATCACTTCCCTCCTCAACTGGCCAGGGAACAGAAAATACAGCAAAAGGTTCATGAGTGAAGGATAGAGAGAGGTTGCTCACCAATTACCATCATGGGCAAAACAGACTTGACTTGGGGAAATTAATTTCATTTGTTACCATTCAAAATCAGAGCAGGATAATAAGAAGTAAAAGAAATCTTAAAAACAGTTTCACCCCTCTACTTCCCAGCTTCTACCTCCTCCACCTTCAGCAGCACAGGAGGGAATGAGGATTATGCCCCCAGTTAAGCACATTTCTGTTGCTGCTTCCTCCTCAGGGAGAGGATTTCCCCTGCTCCATCATGGGGAAACGTATTTCCACAGGAAACAGTCCTCTACAGACTTGTTCAATGTCAGTCCTTCCCAAGGGCTACATTTCTTTACAAACTGCCCCAGCATGATCCCTTTTCATGGGGTGCAGCCCTTCAGAACAGGTTGCTGCAGCATGGGTCCTCCATGGGGTCACAAGTCCTGCCAGGAAACCTGCTCCAGCACGGGCTCCCCTCTCCATGGACTCACAGGCTCCAGAACTGGTTTCCCACAAGGTCACAACCTTCTTTAAGGGCATCCACTTGCTCTGACACGGGGCTCCTCCACAGGCTGCAGAGTGATCTCTGCACTCCTGCTGGTCTTTCCGAAGGTTGCAGGGGCACAGCTGCTTCACCGCGGCCTTTTGTGCCTAGACTGCAGGGGAATCTCAGCTCCAGTGCCTGGAGGAGCTCCTCTCCTTCCTTCTGCACTGACCTTGGTATCTGCAGAGATGGTTCTTTCACATATTCTCACTTCCCTCTTCTCTGTCAACAATTATTACTGTGCAGTAACTTTTTTCTTTTTTAAATATATTATCTCAAAGGGGTTACTACCATCTCTGATTGCCTCAGCCTGGGCCAGTGGCAGGTTGACAGTGGAGCAGGCTTACATTGGCAGTGTTGGACATGGGAAGCTTCTGGAAGCTTCCCAGAATAAGCCACCCCAATAGCTCTCCCCAGTACCAAAGCCTTGCCTTGCAAACCCAATGCACTAAAAACACTTGAAAAAGAAGGGTATTTGTACAAAACTGCTGTTTTTTAAGCAGTAAAGAAGGGAAGAAAATACATGTGTATTCCTACCTACTGGCATGTTTGAGACCAATATTGGGGATAAAGGAAGATAACATTTTGAAAGACTTAAAAAAATACTCCTAACCCTATTATTTCCTACCTTTGAGAATTTATCAGAAACTTGACCAACTAAGAGTACTGATCTCTAACTTAAAAGGTAGAGTCTCTAATGAAGAAAATGCATTAAATAATCATTAGGAAAATTTTAGTACGGAGAAAATTTTTTGTGCTTTGGTTTCATTCTGGCAAGGTGCAATGACCTTAACAGAGATTATATATGCAAAAAACCCAGACTAAAGTAATGAGTAAATCAGATTCACATGTAATAGCTTTTTTTTTAAATGAAAAGAGAAATAAAGGGAATGCTCACATGAGTGCAGGTACTTCTACATTGAGGAATTTGCCAAAAATAAGGCTTTTGTATCATTGACTATCTATCTCACTCTTCAGTAGAGGGAGATTTCTTTCTCTTAGTTTCATAGTGACCCTTTTCTCCTTGAAATAATGAAACATTCTGGGAATCAATAATAATAGAGCTTTCCTGTCTCTATGTTAATTTCAAAACTGGCCTTTGGCAATTCCTGGCTTACTGCAGGCATGGAGTTCATGCAAATGAAATCAGTTTTATATAGGTTATATATGTATATATCTATAGAGTTCTGTCATAGGCACGCCCAGATGATTTTATTTGTCTAAAACTTGAGTTTGCAGCTTGCTTTCTAATACATTTCAGCTGCTTCTTGTGAAGTCACAAAAATTAGTTGGGATGACAGCACTTCAGGAACACTCACCACATAAGCATAATATATATTCTGTATTCTAGTCTATATGTATATATATATATATTCTTGTGTATATGTATAATACACCAGAACCTCAGTACAAAACACTTTGATGCAAACTTTTTGGGAACATTAGATTTAGAATAGAGAGGAATCTTCCTTACCTCTTCTGCATGCATTCCACAAAGCTTGTTTCCTGACAAGAGCTTGTTTTTGAGGCTTTTGTTCTGAGAATGGGACAAAAAAAACCCCAAAATAGTTTATTAGTAAGTGTTACTAAAATATTAAGGGACCCTCTAACTATTTGATCATACTGACTCTATTTTTTAATATGGATAACATCTTCAAGTCACCAACAAAGATATAAATAAAACAAGAGAGATTAATCAAGGCACAGCATTCTCTTACAGAATTCTTAAAGGCATTTGCATTAAAATTTGCTTCAACAGTAACAGGACTGCCCATAGAGACCTTCCCAGAACACTGGCAACTGAAAGCAATTTAGATTTAATAAGCTGAGGTACAAAAGGGCAGGAAAAAAAACCTCTAATCCTTGCTTGGTGTCAACTCCATAGCTCAGTATTATTTTCTGTAAATCATTTTAACACCTGAGTAACAGGGCCAAGGTCTCATCACTTGACCTTGATGATCAAAATCAAGGGGTGTTTCTGCTAAATTTTATAATTTAAAACTGCAAGTAACAAAACCAGTAGAAAGTTAGGTACCTGATAGCATTCTGCCTGCTCAATATGGTTTTCCATGTAGGAGTTTTAAATGTATTTCTTCTCATTTTCAGGGAAAATAACAAACCCTGACAAAATTAATTCTTCATAGTAATTATTTTTCCACTCCTCACTCATATTATCCCGTAACTGACAGTCAAGGCCGAAGATTTCTCTGCAGTGTGAACATCTTTTAAAACTGATCAAAACCATAAGTATTCTATGAGCAGATCTACAAGTGCTGAACATAACATGCTTAACACAAAAAAAAAAAAAAAAAAAAAAATTAAAAGAATACAAAACCCAACTATTCCTGGTTAATGAATTGCAAACATACAAACAGAAACAGAACCCACCACATTTCAGGAATGTATGTTTATTACTGAACAGCAATAGTTTTCCTGTACATTGTGCCTAAGAACAAGCTGTCATTAGAGCAAAAAATGTAATTCCATTCCAGTTCAAATTTAGGTCTGCATCCCACTGGAAGCTTTAATTCCACAATTAGAAACTTTGAGTTTCTCTTGAAAAAAAAAAACAAAAAAAACAAAAAAAAACCAAAAAACAAAAACAAACCTTTTTTTTAAGGCAAATGCAAAGAAACTAAAATTTCATTTGAAAACTCATTTTCATGATTCCAAAATAAGGAGGAGATCTGACATAATTTCACATTTCACTGTTGCTGGCTACCATGCAACAGTATTCATTACTGCAGAAACAATAAATTTTTCCCAGCTGTTTGACTTGGATGCCCATAGTTCTCTGATACAACAGAAAGGAACTAGGATGTTATTTTGAATGAGACAATCCAACAATCCAATCTTTCAAAACATGATTTGCAAAGAGCTGGATGTTGTTCTAGTAAGTGTAACAGTCAATTACCTCTTTTGGTTCTTTGTTTGAAAATTTGTGTTGTAACTCACCAAAGAGCAATAGCCTATTGTACTGACCACTACAGAAATTCAGAGTAAGACAACTGGCTCTGAAAAAAATGGTACTGTATAGCAGACACAAGATGAACAAAGGTAAACAAAATAAAAATCAAAGACATGAAGCACACCTGACTCATCTATTGCTCACCAGGGGTACACCAGAAGAACCATGCTGTATTTGTGAACACAAAGTGAATGTGTTTTGCACACATCTTAATGGTTTCACATAAAGATCAGCATCACCTTTTGGAATGACATTAAAACAGATATGCCAAAGGCACTGTTTCATTAGGGACTTGTGCTTAATTAACTCAGGATATCAAGTAATTCTTTTGGTTTGACTAACTCATTATCCTCCACTCCCTCCACAGACTAGTGACGGTCGGTTCAGTAGCACTCTGTCCATATTTCAGAAGCAAAGAAAGAATGAATTGTAATCACTACATTTTTATACATTTATCTTCCTTTTGCCCAGTATAAACTATTGTAAGAAATAACTTCTACTAATACATTAATCTTTTGTAAGTAATTTCTACATAGGCTATTTGGGAACACCATGCAGTAACCCAGAATGTGAAAAACTGTGCGGCAACAGGACACACAATGTACTAGACAGTTGTCACAATTTCCACATTTTGTGCCAAATAAACCTGGCACAAGTATATAGTTATATATATACAGAACTTGTCCAAAAACAAAACATGATGAAAATATTCAAAGTTAGGAGATGGACTCAATTTTTGAGATTTAGCTAGGTTTAACATGATTTCCTGATTCTGTCTCATTATCCAATCTATTTGCAACAAAAACACCCAGCAGGGTTATCAGAATGCAAGGAAAATAGTCCTGATTTGATCTCAACTTAATAATGTTTCTAGAAATGAGAGCAAGCACTAAAAGTTAATATTATCCAGAGTATAATAAGTAGGAGATTTTCAGAAGTAGATGACAACTTCTTGGCCACAATTTGGGTGATTTTACATGACTTCACAAATCACATATCACTGTTGAAAAAAGCTTTGCATCCTGATTAATAGTACAATTCTGAATTAAAATATTTTTTCTTCTGAAAGAAGTCTAATCAGGTACATATTCTGAAAGAATAAGCCCCATTTGCTAGAAAGGTGCTATTCAAAGCCATATTAATTAATCAATGAAATTTTAAATTTACAAAGGCCTGTTGATTCAGTACAGAAGTTCTGACTTCTAAGACATACACGGATTAAAGATTATGCTCATTTTCTTAAGAAGCATCCCTCAAAGAGCAAGAACAAATAAACTAATCTGAATTTTATGCAGTTTTAACTTCAAATATTTCATTTGTAATTAAGTACTTCAATGGAGAAGATTCTGGACATTTCAGTCTGAAAAATAAGAAATGAAGTGTCTGTAAATATATCTTTAGCATTCAATTTTAAAATTATATAAAATAATTTAGGAATGGCCTTCTAGACTTGGAGTTAAAATATCATTATATTCAAAGTAAATAGGTATTTTAATGCATTTGAACATCTTCAAAAGCTTATAGCAAAAGCTGTAAGCTGGAGCACTTGCATACAATCATATCATTCAGCCAAGTTACTCTTGTACCCAATTCCTACTCTATGAAATCTTTTAGCTCATCTGCACCATTTACACCAATAGTTTCAGTGCATTCGAAAATTAAGGTGCAAAAACTTGCTGTCAGTGTTTGCCTCACGGGCAAGAACCCTGCTGTCTCTTCCCATGTGCTCTTACTGTCCTGGACCTACGCTCAGTAACACCACGCGAGTCCAGCGTCCATTCCTTGTCCACTGTGAGAGACCGAAATGTTACGGCTAATGGCTTAAACTTTGTTATGAAGGACTTGTTGCCCACGATGCCAAAACTGTGTAAAGAATCTGCTACCACCAAAGCCCAAGCCTTCCTGAATATGCCTCCTGATGGAACTGTGGACTGAGAGTTAAGCTGCCTAATGGAACATAAGGTGAAGGTGACACTGCTATCCAGTTACCTCAGGTCTAGGTAGAAGAAAACAAGGCTGAGGGAGAACGTATCCACAAGAAAGCCAGACCCAGCAGCTCTGCTGAAAATCAGCTCTGGCTGGGCTCAGGGTGGGGGAGGCCATAGCCCCCAGGCTCATCTGCTGAGGCCAGGTTTGCACACACTCCCTGCCCAACCAAACGGGGAGGAGGAGAGTTTTGGGTGTGTGGCATAACCTCTGGTGAGAGGCAGTGAACACCCATCCCCTCTTACAACAAACCAGCTCCGTTGTAAGCCCCCCTGTATCCTGGGAAGGCAACATGCAAGTGGAACATTCATGTGAAGGCAGCTGAGGGGGTGTCACAAGCCATCAAACACCCCTGAAGTGCCCTCCAGAGTAATTCCTGAGGCCTTGCACAGGATGACTGCACATGATGCAACAGATCCAGAGTCTCTGTTGCATGAGACACTGTCAAGCTTGCCCTCCCAGTGCATTCCCACCTGGCCCAAACCATATATAAATCCACTGAACTCTGTGTTTTGTGGGACCCTCAACACCAAGAAGACCAGAAGAAAAGGATCAATGGAATGCTGTTGAGGTCTACAGTGGTAAGTTTTTCTCCTTAATCTGTCTTTCTGTCACTCTCTTTCTCTCCTCTACCTTTTTCTATTTCTTTGTATCTCTCTCTATTTACCTCATATTTACTATTAATAAAAATCCATACTATTGACTTGGGCATATGGTCTCATTTGTACCTTAATTTGGACAGAGGCATCTCTCTAACAGTTTTAATAACTAGATTGTAACAGCCCACAGAAGTCAGAACTCTTAAAGACAACTTGCTAAACTTGTAAATATGTTCTTCACAGAGCTTCCATACTGAAAATAAACAGCTTTCTGCCACAGTCCCTAGGCATTTTTTTTTCCTTTTCTCTTACAGTGGCATAACATTCCTATATGTTGTTAGGGTTCTGATAATATTTTCAAAATGTGAGACTAGACTTAATGAAAGATATGTTCATTATATATAATCATTGACTTTATCTATGTTGCCTAAAGCTCTACCTCCAATATAAAAGCATAGAAAAGAAGCTGTAGTGTCATACTTGTTTTGTCAACATGCCTTTGGAACCTGAAGAAAAAAAAAAAATCCTTGCTTTCTGGCTACAAGGGTATATGTTCCTTTCTCTTCCTAACTTTGGAAAATAAACCTTTCTCTTCTGCATCTGTTTTCCTGAATCAAATGCCAGTAGGCTGGCCAAATAAACATGTAACACCTCAAGACCTTCACCCATGTTTTCAAAAAAGCAGCATTTCCTACCGTAACAGACTGAGCATTCCCCCTCTCTAGAGAAGAGGGAGAGATTGTGACTACTTTAGCATTCTTAAAAAACAATAACTGTGATGCCAATCTGAAAACCTGGACAAAGGCTTACAAAGAAAAGCACTAACTATACACTTGAAAGCTCAATAAAACCACTTTTACAGTTGCAGTTTTAGTTAGTTCCTTTTCTGCAAATAAGTTTTGTAAAAAACATTAAATCATTATGCAGCTATACACGCGGCATATTGTGTTTTTTATAATTTCTCCATCTGATTTTAGCATATAT